TCCTATTACCATGACCATGTTTGATTCAATAGGCCAGGAAGTATAACCCATTCTCGCTGTGAATGGTGTCTCCTCATACAGTTAACAACAAAATTTTTCACACCCCTTATAAATTTTAGGTTTTTGTGTGTTTTTCTAAAGAATGAAAGGTAAGCTGATAGTGTTTGGGCCATAGTTCAATACTTTTAGCTTTCGGGTAAAAATGACTAATGTCTTTGGTTTTACCTCATTTGCATAACAAAGAAAATGCCACATTGTTTAAATTCTGACATGTTCAGAATTATTCACACCCTTTACCTATAAGAGTTAATACACAGTTAATAGTCAATTACGAAGCCCTTCTTGATTACAGCACCCAGGCAGTTTTTGTACAGTTCATGAGGGTTTGGCTCCACGGGAATCTTGGCCCATTCTTCCTTGTCGAAAACCTCCAGCTCTTTCAGGGTGGAGGGCCTTCGGGCATGCATGCGCCTTGGACTTGAGGGTTTCCACATGTTTTTGATGGATTCGTATCTAGGCTTTGGCTTGGCCGTGGTAGCACCTCCACGTTGTTAATCCTGAACAATATCTCGACTGACTTTGCCGTGTGTTTAGGATCATTGTCCCGTTGGTACCATGTCCAGTTGGGGCCAAGATGGAGATTTTCTGCTTGAAATTGTCCTGCAGAATCTGGGTGCACTACTCCTTCTTCATAATTCCTTCCACTTTTAAGAGATTGTCAGGTTCACTTGCAGAGAAACAACCCCACAACTTCCAAACTTCACGTTCGGCACAGTGTTCTTTGGGTTGAATGTTTCTCCCTTCTTGCGCCAAACCAAGGAAACATCCCTGTGGCCAAACAGCCCCATTTTCATCTCGTCTGACCATAGAACTGATGACCAGAAACTTTGATCCTTGTCTCAGCGCCCTCTCGCAAATGCGAGTCGAGCTTTTCGATGCCTGTGAGTGAGGAGAGGGGTCTTTCTTGGACAAAGCCCATGTAGCCCTTCCTTGTGCAGTGTGCGGCGGATTGTCCGCATAGAAACCTTGATGATGCTCATCTTACCCAAGTTGTCTTGAAGTGCCTTGATTGTTGTTCTGGGGTTGGAAAGGGCCTCACGGCAAACTTTCCTAACCAGACGAGGATACACTTTTCGGCAAAGAGAGAGCCATTCCAATCTCCATGTGTCATTGGAACTCGGAAAGATAAGTCGGAGAGAATCAAAAAATACTCTGCCTCCACTTCTGAATGTAAAAATTCTTGCACCCAAGGAGCAGGTTGTATGTGTGGCATATATCTGGTGGAAATATAAAAGCTAAGCGAATGGGGTAGCATTGAATGTTTGCAGAGAAATTCATTTAATGTTCAGCTTTAATGCCGGAAGCATTATCATTCACAAAGTATGAACTGGCCTTCGACCTCTGTTGGATGGATTTCAACCCTCTCCGACAGGCCATTGACAGAAACGCGTTGAAGTGCTTCGGAGGGTAGCCTAAGCAGTTGAAAGAAGGGTAAAACTCGTTTAAACACGCGTGCGATAACGGAATTCCGCGCGGTCACAAATATAGAACATGTGGTTAGACTGGGGAAATGGCGCACTCCCTCGATAAACCATCGAGTTAAAAAAAACGAGTTATTTTTCCAATGATACCGCGTTGAGACTGTGCATTCTAGCCTATCTTGTTGGATATGATGTCACTGGCTGGCTGCTACATCGTTGTTGTGGAGTAGCATGAACATAACACCGACCGGGTTTCTGCTCATGTTGCGTAAGAAAGTACAATACCTGCTTTAGCGGCTTCTCTTTTGCATGTGTATAAAATTGACACACATGTATGTGTGCATTTAGTGCAACAGGCACAATTAATCTCTCAAACGATTCCCCGAGTCTTGATTTTTTTTCTTTTCTAGCAAGTATAAATGGCAAGCGAGTGGTCATCACCGGTGCTAGCACGGGTATAGGGGAGCAGATAGCCTACCAGTATGCCAGGCTTGGGGCGAGGGTTCTCATCACAGCACGCAGAGGCGTCGTGTTACAACAGGTAATGAGAACCGAGCCAGACCAAGAGATGGCGCAATTTTCCTAGCAACGGAGGCTCCTTTAGTCAGAAATGCACGTCTCTGGTTCACAAACGACTATGAAATGCACGCGTTACGGTCGCGTTGCTACCAGCAAAATGAACACCCCCGACCAACGTGTCTCTTTTCAACCGAGAAGGGGGTGCTTCTGCTCACGGCGAATTGAATATACAAACTCAACTTTATTAGGAAGGGGGAGGGACTAAACATTTGGGTGGAGGCTCACAAAGTTGAGCATGCGCTATTTCACATTTCGCCTGGAGAGGCCATGTGAACAAAGTACACGTATGTTCAGCATCCGGGTTTCACGTTTCCAACAAAGGAGGAGGGGCCTTTTATTTTTGTTTTTTATACACAAGGTGGGTGCCATTCTCTGTTTGAGTTTGTAGAATCCACAAGTGTTATGTCCCATTGATAGGCTATAAGAAACGTTTTGTTTAATGTTAACATACATGAATGTTTACAGAGTAAACAACACAGAACTTGGAAGTTCAAAAATCGCCGCACAGTTGCAAAAAGTTCCCCTAAACACAAAAATGTGTATTTAAATGTACCCATTTTTGAAAATAGAAACGATGAAAATAGGCCTAAAAACAAATGAACTGATGACGGAACTGATTGCAACAGCTCTCCAAAGAGGGCTTCGTGCTAGCTCACAATGAATACATAAAACCACAGGAAAAATCATGACAGACAGTGTGGGCGGTTCATGCGAAGCTATACCGCGCTCGTATAGGACGGTCATGTTGAACTCCGCTGCGCACACGCGCACACCTGATGGCGGCCATTCGAAAAATCACCACCAATCACGATCCGAACCTCAGAATGACACATTTCTGACCCAAGTTTTTTTTAATTAAAGCTACTTTTCATCAAAATGTACCAGAAAACCTTTTAAATGCAAACCCGGGGGACTAACTTGTCTGGAGGGAACAGAATAACTTAGAGGGGGACAAAATTAAAGGGTCCGGGGGACATTTCTACCAAGGTTACTGTGTCCGCTGGACAGTGTTACCGGGGACAAACTACACTGGTGGTCTCGGATAATGATCATGCGTCTGCAAATGACGCGAAAATACACTGACAGTATGAAGTATTAATTAAAGAAGTTTTGACTCATCAGTAGGCCTACTTTGTTTTCTGATGGATTGCTTGACCTTTTTGGGGGGGTCCACCTTATTTGCCTGAACATGAAAATAGGCAAATCTCGGCGGCCTTCGCGAAAAGAAGCAGGCGAGGACGCTCAACACGCATTCAAAGGTTTCTTTTTACTTTGCCTTAAAGGATAGTGGTCGGTTGTTTCACCTTAAATCGATCGATCGATTGAGGTGGATACGAATGTGTGTGAACTAGGATTGACTGGTACAACAAACCCCATGTTGGAGTGAATTGAATATTCACACGCCTAGTTTCAAAAGATCAACCGAGATGAAACAGATTGGTCAGCCAATATCTTAGGGGTAGATTCTACCCCCCCCCCCACTGCAAAGTCGTCAGACACCCCAGCTCTTTAGTATCAGAACGTGCATTGAGTTGCAAAAATAAGGCCAACTTGAAGTGACGCACGTGCATGACCCTTTATGTTTTTAGATGACCAGACCGGTGCTCTAATAAATCAGCTATGCGTTGTATACGTTTATACTGACATACAAAGATGCAATCAGTAACTTAGAGTGGCCCAAAGGTTGCTGCTCTGAGATTCCCTACCAAAGAATGCAGACTAAATCCCGTTCCTCTGTTCGTATGATCGTCTCCCTAGGTGGTTTCCAAGTGCAAAGAGCTAGGAGCCCAGGAGGCATTTTACCTTGCACTCGACATGAGCAAAGAGAACGACACCAGGAGGCTGATTGACGAGGCTAAGGCGAGGTTTGGTGGCCTGGACCATCTCATCCTGAACCACGTTGCCTACAGCTCAATGTCAGTGTGGTCGGGAGGGCTGGCTAAGTTAAGAAGTGTACGTGCACATCAAATGTAGGACGTTTCCATATTAATGAAGTCATCTTGCCTTGTAAAGCACCCATTTTTTGAAGTGCAGCTGCAATGCGTTTTTTTTAATCACATTTTTTTCTGCATCTCTATACTCTTCTTCAATGTATGAAAACTCTTTTACACTTCTATTTGGTTTAATGCATTAAAGAATACAATTTTTTCAACACCCAAATATATGCTTTCCTGGACAATGGAGGGCGCCGTTGGTGTGATGTCATCCAGGGAAGGCATAATTCTGTGCATAGGTTTTTCTATTAATCTATTAAAATTTTCAACCCAGAATTTACTTACCAAAACATTTCTAAGAAAGGGACTGATGCCTGGTCATTTCTTCACAGTTATGAAGTTTCCATGAATATGGAAATAACCATTGGCATAAAAACCAAAAAGATGATAACGGACCTTTGAAACATAGAGCAAAAGTTGAAAATAAGGTTAACTAAGACAGTTCTTTCAAAAGTCTCTTAAGGTTTTTTATTCACAACCGCACACCGTTCATTGTGTTCGACACTAGTTACTATACTGATCGTAAGACCAAGTCCTTCAAGGAAAATTATACGGTATTCTGCCAAAGATCCCCTTAAACAAAATAGAAACAAAATGTCCTTCTCTTTGTCCATAAACCTCTTGTTCATAGTCAATGGACGTCAACTTCCACGCTTACGTGAGCCTGGCAACATTTGCCACACCGATGTTAGCAGAGAGCAAGGGAAGTATCGGCATCGTCTCGTCTGGTGCAGGTGCTTGTGACTGCTTGGATTTTGAACTTTTAAACAGCCAGTGTTTTTGCTCGTTTGATGGTACAATGAAAAGAAAGACACCTTCCCCTAGATTATCACACTCGCCTTGTAAGCTTTTTGTGGTGCGACGATTTTGGAAAATCAGCAACGAATGTCGTAAACAGACCGCTGAATGTTTTTTAGTAAAGGAACCTTTGCATGCAGTTAAGACGACAAAAAGGCGTGATTGCGCAGGGGAGAGAGCGATTTTCACGGGGCAAAAAACGTGTCCTGGGATGGAAAATGCATTTTCCGCGAGAGTAGCTTTCCCAAAATACAAAAGTAGGTAATATCGGGATGAGGAGAGGCAAGCTATAGGTCACCAAACATTTTTTTTTAATGAAATCGAATTGCCCTCTCCACAATTTCACCAAAATCAAAACAGAAACCCAGCACATGATTGTTTCCCGATAACCAATATATCAGTGTTTTTACTTCAAGTTAATCGATTTTTCCACCCATCCACTTTGCGTTTTCGTACTAAACCTGATTTGCCTCATCAAACTTGACACATACGTCAACAATCAGCAAACGATGGTCTGTAAAGATTTTTGTCAAGATGACATCATCGAGTGTCAATTGAGGTCATTTTAAAGGTGAACTTTTCAGAAACCGATGTACAGAAATACGAACCCTATACTGGGTTTATACTAGACATTGACATAGACAGGGAAGTGTTACATTGAAAACTGAGGTAATGTCATGAAAAGTCATCGCTTGTCACGTGACTTCATGTCAAAGTTTCATTTTCAGACACCAATATCTACAAAAGTAAAGGTACGATTTGGTTTAAACTTGGTATATATGCACTTGGTGTTATAGATAAGAACTGAAAAAAGTTATGATTACGTCATCACATGTCAAGTGACGTCATGGTAAAAATACGCAAAGCTATTAATCCTTTGTAGTTCAAGTCGCATTGGGATGAAAACGTTGGAGATACTTATACAGGGACATATTAAAGGTGAAAAATGAAGTTATTTTTATTATGACGTCATCAATAGCCTTGTGACGTAAATTTAACGGGCATGTATCTAAGGCCTATACGTACACAACTACAGGTCCAATATGGTATTAACATTATCCATGTTGCCTCGGGAAATTGAAGTACCGTTGTGATGACATCATCATAGGCCTAAAGGGGAGCTTAGTGTATGTAATATCCAGAGAATTAAGGTCCGGTTTGTAAGGTGCTGTTCATAATTCGGTGTTATAGCTGTATTGACTTCATGACGTGTCAGGTCAAACATCCAAAAGAGCTCTTGTTTGTACACAAATTTTTTTTGTCCTTTTTTCTGTTGAAGTTGAAAAAGTTGTGCGTCGTGAGATTTTTCAGCAAGATTTATTTCGAAATATAATAAGAAATTCTGTGAAATAAGCAGCTTCGAGGCATTTTTGATCAGTTAAATCTAAACTTCAGGCAACCTATTTTTTATGACCATGGAAACAAGGATCGAAAGACGATTTTATTCTTATCTGGTTGAGATTAAGGGGCCAGGAAATTGCCTGAAATCAAAATCTTGCTGAAAAAGACCTCATGTTTCACAACACATCCTGAAGTAAAAGTTAGTGAAGCTCCCTACCTTGTTGGGCTATTCATCAGCACGTGCGTATCAATTGACTACATTTTTCCCTGAAGTCTTTCTTTTGTTCGATCAGGAAAAGTAAGTCTTCTGTTTGCAACAAATTACTGTCCAGCCAAGTTTGCCCTCCACGGATTTTTTGATACGCTACGACAAGAGTTCCAGCTGCAGAACATTGAAGTTTCTGTGACCATGTTTGTTCTCGGTAAGAGCCCAAATCATAAAGTCAGATGTACACCTGAGCCAATTTTGCTCGAAGGCCCCTCTTTCATTATTTTTTTTCAGCTGGGCACTTTTATGAAGCAGAAATCGGGTCATAAAGATTGAAACATGTCTTGGCAAAACGGAATGCTTTTTTTTTTAAATCGAACGTGTTTTTTTTAATCGAATGTATTTTTAAACGAATACCATTTTAAAAAGATCGTATTTTTTTACTTTTGGAATGCGTCTTTAAAAAACTTTTTAAATTTTAAAATTTTAAAGATGCCATACATGTTTTCTAGATTCGAATGAATTTTTAAAGAGCGGATGAATTTGTATAGACGGAACATATTTTCTAATTCGTGACGAGTGAACATGTTTTCCAAATTCGAATAAGATTGTACAAAAAATCCAACATTTTCTCGAGATTGAAACGAATTTTTATGGTCATTTTTTAATATTGGAATAAAATTGTTGACTCCGAATACATTTTAAATATTTGAACACTTTTCCCAACGAAAAGCTGTCATTCGGCGCACGCATTTTACCCGAAATCTCATTCCATTCCAATTGAGAAAGCATCCGAATTGAGAAAGTATCCAAATTTCTAAAGCATCCGCGTTTAAAAATATCCAATCTTTTTGACGGTGTTCAGCCCGAAGTTCCGAATCTTTTTGGACAATTCGGCTATATTTGATATGCGCATGCGCAGGCAAACTCCTACAGTGGTTCCCACTACCCTTTATTGGTTTAATTCCTTAATTCATTTTTCTTGTGCATTGTTAATTTTAAACAAATGTCGCTGTATTTCTCATTTGGAAGTCAAATCTCAAGTCGAAAACAAATTGCCCCTTAGTCTGATTCGAATCCAAGTCAGCATTTCCAGGCAATTAACGCCGACTCTTGGATAAAGTCTACTGAACTGACCTTGCTCCTCGGGTCTCTTTGTGTACAGGCGCAATCTCCACTCAGAATGCAATAGACAGTGTCAAGGGCATGGTTCGCACAAATGCCTACGTGACCATGCCCTCCGAGACCGCCTACCGCATCATGACGGGAACCGCCAACAGGGAACGCGAGGTCTACTATCCCTTGCACCAGACTCTGCTCGTGCTGCTCTTGAGGGACTCGGCCCCCCGCCTCCTGGAAGCACTGATGCAGGTCATGGTGAAACCTGAAGCCCGCGAGGAGCTGCTCAAGAATCCCAATCCTCTTTTAAAGAAAGACTGACCTGGTACTTAAAATACCTGCTCGCAAAGACAAGCTTTAGCCAAAAAAATGTCATCCAGTGTGTTTAGCTTTGACACTTTTGATTGGTGCAGAAATTCCTACATGTTGTATTTTCCGGTTGGTCATCCAAGGCAGTAACTTTTGGTTCCATTAGGGGAGGGTTACCCGAACCCTACATCAACAAGTCCGAAACAAAATCTCTGAAAACACAGCACAGCTTTCCATTAGTCAGTTGCCGATAAAAAGAAAAAGAATCGTTTTTTGCACATGAATGTCTTCAGAATGATTTCTGGTTACTTCTGATATCACGGAGTGTAGAGTAGCAAAACAGTGTACGAAGCATTTAGCCAGGGGTATCACACGATGCTAATGAGATTCGCGTAAGGATTCGGGTGCTCGGGCTCCAGCACTAGCCCTGAAATATCATTTTAAGTACCTCGTGGAACCTCAATTTCTGGAAACGATGTGGAGCTATTTGATAGGCCTTTTTGATGAATTCATTTGAAATTCGAAAAAAATGTCATTTTCAATACTTTTCCAAAATATTGCTGTCACTTATACATGTAATTCTGTCTTGACTGAAATCCACAAAAGTGTAATTGGTCAAACTTGCTTGATTTTCGTTGGCCCGTGCCTGTTACAAGTTACTTCTCCAAAGGTGTGGCCAAAAGTGGAATTTACATCACTCTATCTATAGGCTACGCGTGACTCCCCCTTGAGGAGGACTGATAGATTATATTGCGCATGGGTACGTAATGTACAGAACAGAGCTAAGAACAATGGTTCATATTGTGAAGGTCTTTGGATCTGCATACGTTTACTTTATTACGCACCTCGTGTGGGCATTACTTTCTATCCTTGCAGTTAAAAGAACTCGATGAAAATACTAACTTTTCACTCATACTTTTTCTCTTCCTTTTACTACGGATAATCCTAACTCCCAACAACGCCCCCTAATCTGTTTTCCAGAAAAGGGACTTATAATTCAGCGGCGGCCGGAACGATGTCAAAGTGTGTGGGGGGGGCAGTTGTCAGACCATCAGGTATCAGCCATTATATCCATGAAGCCCCACCCCATTATAGGCCCCGCAAAAAGTGTGTGTGGGGGGCATGCCCCGAGCCGAAAAAGTGGGGGTGGGGTGGGCTCTGGCCCCCTTTTCCGCTTCCGTTGCCAGTGACTTATATTCTTGTGCGGACCTGGCTTGGTCCAAAAAATAAGGTTCGCACAACCAACATTACGTGGACGTGTTTTGTTTACAATCCACATACGTTATGTTAGGTTGGCACCACGTCCCCCTTTCTGAAATAGAGTTTCTGAGGCAGTGGGTTCAGGTTTGTTTACTCTGTCAAAAATGGAGAGGAACGTCCAGGAAATTATCTTTAAAGTCAAGCTTGAACGGATGTGTTTAGTAAGTAAAAATGGATTTTCTCTGAGTTTTCTTAACCACAAGGAAATGTACATATTGTGTATGAAACGCCAAAAATGGGCGTTAATTACAAGTGCATGTGGTGCGAAGTACCATCAGTAATGGTGTGTGTCGGCTATATGGCCGCAAAAGGATCTTGAAGTGTTGACCTTAGTTCTTCTTTGAAAATATGACCTGTCAGCGGGGTACGAGTGTAAAGAATCTGCACAAGTACACGACCAAATGTGTTTTTCTTCGTAAAGCGTTTTTATTAAATTTCTTAGCTTAATTTACATGCTCCAGTGTTAACACATTGATATTACTTCTGACAATGTTGAACTTATGTACTTTTTGTCCTGCCTGTCTGTGTTCTGCACAGATTCGCCAAGCAGACCATTAAGTGAAGACCGTGGGGTTGGACAAAACATGCTCTAGAATTTCAGTGGTTTATAGCAACCCCTTTTTGTTTCTCTTCAAAAGCACAAGGCTGAATTTTACAGTGTGTGTAGTGTTCCATTTGACACATGCACTACCTGTATTTGAGATAATTTGGTTTCTATATTATAGTTGGAATAAACTGGTGGAATAAAAATTCTACATACATAAACAAGAATCGTCCTATTCAACAACGTGCAACTTGACCCTGTATTAACATTTGATAATGCCCGTTGAGAAGTGATAATGCCCCGGCTAGGCTGCGTAAATCACCCGTTCGAACATAATCACAAGTCTGGATATGAGACAGTTTAATTGATTCTGATTGGTCAAGAGTCTGTGTGCACGCGGCTCGCCTCGCGCGCCAAGTCCATATAAGGAGATTTTTTTGGACAATTTGCGCAAGGAATATACCATAAAATGGACGGGGGTGTTCGGGAAAATGAAAGTAAAATTCTAGAACAAAATCGTTGGAAATCTAGACTCCCTTTGACTCTCTGTCTGGAAAGGTAGTATGAATGGGAATAAGTGTGTGACTGCGGCAAGGGCATTATCAGCGTTCAGTCTCCTGAGCAGGTCTGTATCGCACGTTCAGTTTAAGACCGGCCAAGCGCATAAAACGCGTGACACTAGCTAGTGCTAACGTCCCCCGGGCGCGGGCCCAACTAGGCATATTTTTGGAACGATGACATCACAGTGGACTAAAATAAGAAAAAAGTAACCAATTTTTCCTCCTAAAAAATTATCAACGCCACTTTTGTCGTGAATTTGTTCGAAACTAGATAGACTTTTGATATGGCTCAAGCACAATGTTCTGCACGCGCACTCCATCAAAGCTTGCGCGAGTTGCGATCTTATGATCGCAAATTGTCACCTTGTACAATTTTCTGCGCAATTTTCGCGCAGTAAAATTTGCGAGTTGCGCTATATCAGTCAATTTTGTATGAAATACCCCTCTTTACCCCTCTTTGGAAGTAATTTTCCACAGCTGCAAAGTAAACAGAAATGGTGATTAGTTAATGATAGCAATATTAGCAATTTGCAACAAGATTGAAAGATCGCGAAAATACCCCACCATGACACCACAAACTTGCCGGCGCGGCACATATAGTAGGGCCTACGCTCCGCGCGCAGTTTTAGTTAGTACTATACGGTGCACGCCACATGAAAAGCGAATTGCTTTTGGAAACTTGGGCATGTCGGGTGCGAAAGCCACTCCCATTTTCTCCCCATAGTTTTGTTTAAAATGTTGGTAAAACGAGTCGTTATAAATAACGGAATATTCAACATGCTCCGGGAAGTCGAAGATGTCACTTGGCAACGGCTGTGGAGGTAGAAAAATATTTTAAATTCTAAGAATTAGGAAAGTGGGTACGGTAACAAAAGCATATCCAAGCGTGCTGTGTTCATATACACACCATGCAGTGATTTTCACACGTGTTTTGTAGGCCTACTCCAAGTCTATGGCTAGGCCTATAATTTCTTTGTCGTTTTCGTCATGTTCGTTGTGCTTTGCTGTTGTTAATTTCAGTTGTAGCCTCAGAATTTGTGTTTCTTACTCCAGTCCATGATTCAACAAATCCCAAGATGGGCCTCACAAAATGTTTACTTCTTGGTGTGGTTATTGGTTACATTGGATTTCTGCTCGTTGATAGATTTGATCCAGGTACGGTACGGTATGGTATGCACGATATTCATATAACTAAATTTATAAAATCACAAACGTTAGAGTAGGCCTTCATGGCAGGGGCGTAGTATGACTATGAGCACGGAGGTAGGAAAATTGTGAGTAATTTCAAATGAGCCATTGAGTTTTAAGCATTTTGTCTGTGGTGGGTATTATTAGGCTGTCTGTTGATACTTTAGACAGACTATGGCATGCCACATCACATGCACTTTTTAATAGTTCCATGTGCATTGTATCCCATGCAATAGGATGCTTGCTGGCAATTCCATGGCATGTAACTATTCCTCCATGCTATATGAGACCAGTAAGGTGGTATAAGGTATATATTTCAGTATTTCTCAAAATCATCGCTGTATTCCATTGTACATGTGGGGCCAGTGGATAGTCCACACACCTTCCTCCATGGTCCACATAACAAAGGAAATGAACAGACCTAAAAACATCAATGTCATGCTTTGTTGACATGTTCGGATCACGTCCCACCTCACTGCCGCTGGAAAGTGCACATGTAAACAGAGCATGGCATCTCTGTGCTACTGGTCTGTTCATCTGTGTTTGGCTGGATGATCAGATTTTGGTTTTTCAGAGTACTGAACATTATGGGTAGCCAGCTGAGCACAATGGTCACAGGCCATGTACAAGGTTTTGTACTAGTGATGAACGGATTCAAGACAAGTTTGACTTGCCATTTTTAAGTTTTTTTAATTACTGGTGGTTTAAATAAGGCCAGGTTATGCATCTGGCAGGTCTGGTGAGTATAAAGCTCGAAGGGAATTTGACACCCCAGAATGTTTGCAGATAAATTATTGTTTAAGTTAAATTGTACGCACCTAGGTGTGTTCAACTTTTAGCGAATTCACAGAACATATATTTAGCCTGAAAAATATAGCATTCCCGAACAACTTAACCTCTTTGTTGGACTGATTTCAACCCTCCCTGACAGGTCCTAAAGTGCTTTGGGGCAGCAAGAGCAAGGTTTAACATATATACATGTGCATGTATACTAGTGCAATGGACAGAATTAATCTCTCAAGCGATTCCCCTGGTCTGGATTTTTTTCTTCTCCAGCCAGTATAAATGGCAAGCGAGTGGTCATCACCGGTGCTAGCACGGGTATAGGGGAGCAGATAGCCTACCAGTATGCCAGGCTTGGGGCAAGGGTTCTCATCACAGCACGCAGAGAGGCGATGCTACAGCTGGTAGGTGAATTTACCGTTTTGACCTTAGGGTAGAAGAAAAGAATTAGGCTCACATTTTCAACCGTTTCCCTCCAACATATGTCAGAATTAATAATGACATCAGTGAGATTAACCACAAAGGGATGGCAGTTTTCACTCAATTTAATTCTAAAAGAGCCACTGGGTGGGGGATATCCTCCTGGACATTTTCATCATGATACCAGTGTTATGAAAAACACTTATGTTTCAGTATTAGGCAAGAATGTCAACTCTTTCTGATTGATATGTGCTTAAGCATGAACCATAAAGGACTGTTATGACATTATAAGGGATTGAATTGCAACTCAGATGCGCTCATAATGAATGTCTTTGCTGGCATGCCAAGCTTCCAAAGGTTTAAGCATGGGACGGCTGTGATGGGGGGGGTGTTATGGTACATCCAGTAAAACTGTCATGGAGAATGCAGACAAAATCCTGTTGCTCCGAAGGTGTGACAATGGGCGTCAATCGTTGAGGGACGGGGGACATGTCTGCCCCCTCTTCGTAGTTTGGGGGGGGGAGTCATGTCATTTGTCATCTCCATGTTTGTTTTTGAAAGCGATTGATGCCTATTGGTTTGACCGTTTCCATAGGTGGTTGCTAAGTGCAAAGAACTAGGAGCCCAGGAGGCGTTTTATCTTGCACTGGACATGGGCAAAGAGACCGACAGCAGGAGGCTAATTGACGAGGCCAAGGCGAGGTTTGGTGGTCTGGACCATCTCATTCTGAACCACGTTGCCTATGGCACCATGTCAGTGTGGTCAGGAGAATTGGATGAGTTGAGACAGGTACAGCAGTTAAACGGAAAAGAAGGATTTTGCCTAAGGGCATTGTGCTGTTACAGCTATAGCTCAATGAAGTCATCACAACTCAATTACTAGCCATTTATAATTCTGAAGTTTCAGATTGGTCAATTAAACTGTCATTGCTTTGCATAAATTTGTTGGCTTTTGTTACATGGACACTCACTTGTGATTTGACTCGAGATCGGACAGCATTACAGCTATGTGCAGCGCAGTGATGTAGGCGAGACCAATTAAGACCTTCACAAGACCACACAAGACCAGCACAAGACCTCCAGTCTGAATTCAAGTCACAAGCTATTCAAATGAACTGCAACAAAAGCATTCCTTTGTCATTGTTCAACCTGTTACTTGTGACTGGTCTTGCGTCTGGTCTTGTGATGGTCTTGACTACAACACTGGTGCAGCGTATAAGCCTTGTCCAACAGGCTGGAAGTGACTTTGACCTAAAGGAATTGGCTTTAAGACATGCATGTCTCACCTGAACCTGGAAGGCCTGCTTAAATTGTGTTCCTCACAAGCATGTGCTACATGTACCACACAGTCCCTGCAACATCCTTCAGTGAGGCAAGCCATTTCCAAACTCATTAATGGGAGTAAAATCAGTCTCAACCTGGAAGGGGGGGGTACGTGAGTACTATCAGAATTCATGTCAGACGGCAGTAACCATGTAGGTCATGAACAACTTCACCACAAAAGGGGACAGCCTTCAGAATCAATTAAGAGTCTGCCTAGTCGGAAACCGTAAGAGTACAAGAGGTCAGAATGGTGTGGCTTCTTGATTGTATCATCAGCAATTGCATTCAGCAAAAGCCAAGCATGGAGGGCAGAGCACAGACCCTGTGAACCTGCCTTTCCCATACCTCTAACCGAACTTTTGTATGAAAATTACCAGTGTCAGCTTTCTCTGAAACTGAACCCCCCCCCACCGAAAAAACCCAGTTCGCTTCAAGTGTCTTTCTCTCTGTTGCAGGCCATGGATGTCAACTTTCACTCTTACATTAGTCTAGCAAGCTTTGCCACGCCGATGTTGGCAGAGAGCAAAGGGAGCATTGGAATTGTCTCGTCAGGCGCAGGTGCATGCAACTTGCTTATATATATATAATTAACATCTCCCCAACGCACAAAATACATCTTGAAAAATAGTTCGCAGTACCCGCTGCTTCATTTGACTCGGACCGGCCAGCCAACCCCGGCAAGCTCGATGGTCGAGTGGTTGAGACATCTGCACTAGTAAGCAGGAGGTCGTGGGTTCGAGTCCCACCCGAGTAAGCGTGTGAGGTTTTTTTTGCAAGCTCTCAGACAAGCACTGAGCATACAGTGCTTATTAATATACATTGGGTAAGGGCAAACCCGTTATATATAATTGCTTTGATTTTTTTTCTTCTATCTTTCTTGTTCGAAGTACCGTACACAAAATGCTTCGTTTTGTTGTGTGACATTTTTTAGGTGATTTCGTTCAGAAATCAAGAAAATTCTGAGAAATGAGAAAACCTTTGTCAAAACACCCTATACATGTACTTCTCCAGACATCCAGTTGAAACATTTCCAAGAAGAGTCAAACTTTTCTCCGATTTAAGCAGTATTCAGTGCATTTAAATATATGTTCATTAGATTTTGGCTTTCGTCTTAATTTTTTTCCCTTCAGGAAAAGTCGGATTTCCATTTGTATCCAAGTACTGTGCAGCCAAGTTTGCCCTTCACGGGTTCTTTGGGGCATTACGGCAAGAGTTCCAGTTGCAGAACATTGGGATCTCTGTGACAATATTTGTTCTCGGTAAGAAGCCAGATCAACATGGAGTTGGTCAGATGCTGCTATTCAAACTTCTTTTGTGAGTCGGATGTTCCTCCGAGTCATTTAACAATTGTTGCTGTGTAGGGGTCTATGGTGTTTTGTACACCCGAGGGGGTAAAAGGCACTTCAGGCGAAGCTGAGGGTGTTATTTGCCCCCGAGGTTGTACAAAACCCATGGACCCCGCCACTGCAGGCAACAACTGTTTGGTTATACCATGGTCATGGGTTACACTGGATTCATCTTATTTGTTATATATGCATATTTTATTGCAAGATAAGTTAACAAACTTTGACAAATTGAAACACTTGAACAGCAAAAAGGGTATTAAATTACAAGGAAAACTATTGATTGCGATGTCCTTAGTTGACCTATGTTTTTGTTTGTTTTTTTGGAGGAGAGAGAAAT